TTGTAAGCCCCAAAACTAAGTCAGAAGAAGTCTTACAGCTTCTGCTTTGATCACTTGGGATGCTCACTCTTCAGACACTTCTTCCCATGATGTGTGAAGGTCCCTTTCATGTCCCTTCCTCTTGCAACCTAGCTCTTGGCCTAAAGGAAGCTTATGTCTCTTAGAGAGGCCACATATTGTTCTCCCGCTGAAAGTCTTCACTGAGCCCAGCCTTCAAGTTATCCCAGAAAAGGTGACAAATATATAGGCAAGAAAGAGTCTAGATGATTCCAGCCACCAGACATTTAAGTCCTTCCCAGTCAGGCAAATCTTTTCAGAAAAAGGCTTAGATATCATGAAGTACTTGCCTTGAAAAAATTCTTGACCCACAAAATCCATGAGTCTAATAAAACATTGTTTAATGCCCTTAATTTTGGGGATAATTTGGGGTGCCTGGGTAGCTCAGTCTGTTAGGCATTCGACTCTTGATTTCAGCTCAGGTCATAATCTCATGGTTTGTGAGTTTGAGCCCCACATGGGACTCTACTCTGACAGTGCAGAGCCTACTTTGGATATTGTCTCCCTTTCTGTCTTCTTCTTCTCCACTCTCAAAAATAAATAAATAAATAAATATTTTTATTGAAAAACAGTTGTGGGATAGTTTGTTTGCAGCAACAAAATTATCAGAACACCCATAAACTACATAAGTGAGTCACAAGCAGCAATGTACATAGGAATGCACTATTCAACATCAATATTCGGACTCCAATTGTCCTCAAATGCAGATGTGGAGAAGAAACGAGATTAGGTAAAAAAAAAAAAAAAAAAAAAAAAAGCAATATTTCTAATCAGGTTTTAGGTGATTCTAATGAAGATATTTCTGACCATAGTTAGGCAACTATAATCCTAATAAGAACTCCCCTAAAGAATTAAAGAGAAATTCAATTGTACAAACTACCAGGATGCTGAATGTTCTCATCACTCGATTCAGAAAGACCTCTTTAGATGTAAGAGGTGCACTCATAGTGGCCTTTTTTCAGGGAGTTTATTCCCACAGGATGAGCAAATAGATGTTCAGCTATGAAATAGGGCTTCTCTCTGTCACTCCTCACGTAATCCAGTCTAACCAAAGTTAAATTACATGCTCTGGGGAAACAATTTTTATTTATTTATTCTTAAATGTATTTATTTATTTTGAGAAGGGGTGTGGGGCAGAAAAAGAGAAAATCCCAAGCAGGCTCCCCACTGTCAGCACAGGGCCTAATGTGTGGCTCAATCTCACTAACCGTGAGTTCATGACCTGAGACAAAAATCAAGAGTCATGTGCTTAACCTACTGAGTCACTCAGGCTCCCCAGGAAATCAGTTTTAAATTAGATTGTGGTCCCTGAAAATTAAACAGAATAATAAATATGTTTGTGACTTTATACGTTTGCTACCTTGAAAATGAGGGTATCAACCCAACAAAGAAAAAGAATTAATAAGGTTTGGAAAAATTAAGTAAAAATATTTATAGGTTTACTCTGAAGATGATGGCCAAGTAATAATAATGACCAGAATCCAGGAAAGGTTTCAAAGAAATAGCAATTCAAATGCTAAATTGGAAGGGGCTGACAACATCCCTCCCCTACTAGGTTTTTTTGATAATGAATCTCATCAAAATCACATGTAAAGGGTATTCCTAAGATAATTTCACACTAGTATGGGTGAAACAAATATTCCTTCCAATACTACCCATCTTTCTTGGCCTTATCCAATTCCTTACTTCTTTTCCTAACAGGTCAAATATTTTTTGCCATATTTTCTCTTTTATGGAATAGTCTGTCATGGTCATGTTGTTGGAAAAATCTCTAAATATGTTCTGTGTCCTTTTTATTATTAAAAAAATTTGCTTTGTTTTTATTGTTTGTACTTTCTGACATTAAATATAAAAACTTTGTTCTGGATCCTGTCTTTATTTAAATCAAATCTTGAACTTAGAGAAACTCCAATTCACAGATTTCAAAGTTTGTTCTTTTCAGACTTTTATTTTCTTCATAAAATTAAGTCCAAAATAAATTTTAAACTTTAAAATTTGATTTTCATTTACTAAAATATGTATATTATGAATATTCTGGCTGTTTGTGATGCAGAAAATACAATTAATATGAATTACAAATTAATTTTCCTTGATACCTACACTTTGCCAATGCTTCTGTCATAAAGTCCTGAGCACTCAATTTATCCTGCATTTATTTTACAGATGTAGTCTCTTTTAACAGCACAGATGGAGGTTTAGATAAAACTCTTCTTATAAGAAGGAAATGGACTAGATAAACTAAAAATATTATGCTTCTGGCACTCAACTTACTCTGATAAATTTTGTCTTAACTGACATAACACAGTCTTTTATCAAGCCATGTGAATATCTTTATGGATTAAAACACCAGGCAAAACAAATCCTTGGCTAAACATAGCCTGTGGATGTTTCTTTCGTCAGGCCCCAATATTCTTTAGGCCTAAAATGCTGTTGATGTATGTCATGTAGAAATACTATTTTGAAATTGAAAAGGAGAGAAATGGCCTTTCATTTTTTATTTATTTTTTTATAGTTTGTCTTCGAATTTGTAAGGGATTCTTTAGGAGTTAGTGCCACTCCTACCATTTAATTTCCTATATATTTTCTTCTATTTTATTGAGGCTGTCTTTAAAATGTCATCATTCGTTTCAATAAAATAATGGGCTCTGGACGATAGCAAGGATGCACCTTCCGATCTTCGTCTCACTAAACCTCACAGACTGCCTATCCTCAGACACAATAAACCTCTCTGAAGTAATTATCCAATTAACAGTTGAAAAGTAGTGTTTAAAACGAGAAAGAAATATTATGGGTTGATGTGTAGGGCACTAATTGCCTAGAAATACTCTGAGCTTTCCAAATGAAGCTACTCCACCTATAAAGTTCAAGTCCACAACACGCAGCCCTCCCTCCCCACTGAATTTTTCCCCTCAATTTACAGCGGCACCGACAGGCTTGGTCTCAGGCCATCAACTCTCTCTAGCACAGCATTAATCCCTAGGAAATGTCCTGTGACTCAGCTGCTACGCTGAAATGTCGGCTGAACTTTTACACACACACACACACACGCACGCACGCATGCACAGACACACACGCACACAGATACACATACAGGATATACGGTAGCTCAAGAATCTGAAAAATAACCAAAGCTGAGAAGGTTTCTGTAAAGGATTTCTTGTTTATTTTTCTTCTCTGACAAAGGTCAGATCACTAATCAGAATCACTTCACCTTAAGCCAAGATTTTTTATTGGAGTGCCGAAATAGAATCACCTGCCTATGACTCCTCAATTAAAAAAAAAAATCTCACAAAGGCAGTTTTTAGCGAATAGAATTCTTGAAGAAATTTTTGGCAAAATCTACAATGTATAGTGCAAGTATAACTTTTTGATCCATAGATCAATATACAACAATCTAAAAAATCACATGTGTTTACTAAAAGGATGGATGGATGGATGATGTGGATGAATGTTTGACTAATCTACAGAGAATATGAATGAATATAGCTGGCATCCCCGGAGTGAAGATAGAATCCAATCAAAACATGATATTATTAAAACATTTCATATGTTGTGATTAAAAGGAAATATCTATGGGGCGCCTAGGTGGCTCAGTCAGTTAAGCATCTGACTATTGATTTTGGCTAAGGTCAAAAAAACAAAAAAAAGGAAGGAAAATATCTAAGTCCCAGTGTTTCATCTATTTATTTGCAATAGAGAAAATTATAAATATTTAAAAATTCAGTTAAATTTATTCACCAAAATGTTACATAATCTTGACTAAAACTAAAATATTTAAAAACAAATTATTTTTTAAAATAATTACTTTGTAAATCTAAGAGCAGTGTTAAGAAAAAGGTAAGATCTGAACAGAATATGTAATCAAATCATTAAATTCCTAATGATAAAAATGCATTAAAATTTCCTTTGTCCCAAGATATTAAAAATATTTTTAATTAAAAATTAGAAACTCTTAAATAATCAGTAACTAATATAATCAAGTATTTCTTCTTCTCAGTAACATCAGAAGGAGAATATCAAGCAGTTAACATTTTATGCTGTGGTTCATCTTTGTGAAGTCTTAAGACTTTTTGTTTTATTCATTACCCTCCCAAAGTTAAATAATTATAATTATAAAGTCATTTATTATTAATACATTTTTATACCAGCCTGCTAATTTTTGCTTCTTGGGAATTTTTAAGTTACGAAATGATGTAATTTTGTATTAATAATCAAGATTATTCGGGGCTCCTGAGTGGCTTAGTCGGTTAAGCGTCCAACTTTCGCTTAGGTCATGATCTCGCAGTTTGTGGGTTCGAGCCCGGCGTCGGGCTCTGTGCTGACTGCCAGCTCAGAGCTTGGAGCCTGTTTCAGTCTGTGACTCCCTCTCCCTCTGACCCTCCCCTGCTCATGCTGTCTCTCTCTCTCTCCTAGAAATAAATAAAACATTAAAAAAAAATCAAGATTATTCTTTTTGTATTTTTTAAGGAAAACTTAAATGTAACAAATATTAATATACTGATGTTATTTTTAGAGGGTTTTTCTTTTTTTTTTTTATTTTTTTTTTACAAATAGTTTATTGTCAAATTAGTTTCTACATAACACTCAGTGCTCATCCCCAAAGTGCCCTTAGAGGGTTTTTCTATATGCTGATGTTTAAAACATTATAAAATTCCTATAGACATTAAAGACTTTCAAATACTATTTGCAATTGATTCTGTGTTTCAACAGGCAATCTAATTAGATTCCACTTTCTTTCTATATGTCTGTATGTATCTATGTACACCCAGACACATGTATATATGCTATTAATAATATATATTTTCTATTCTAGCTGTTTTTCCTTTTTAAGTGGACCACAATGCCTGGCTTATTTTAATAGAGAAAGATGTAAATTTTTCTTACCTGCCCTTTAAACTACTTTGGGACAATGCAAAGTCAGCTGAACTAAATTTAGCAATTACCTTTTAGCTGACAGAGCCTTCTGATGTGGGAATCATTCTCTGGCTTGCTGGGTTCTTGCCAGATTGTGTCATTCACCATTTTCCTTTCTAAAAAAGCAGAGGATTGGTTAGCAGAATTCACAGTAACATCTGTCCAGGAAGTGTAAGAAATTTAAATTCAAAACAAGATCGGCACACAGTTGTAACTTGGTAACTGATAAGAGAGCTCTCCAGAATGGAGAGTTCTAGTCCCTGATGGACAACCCCAAGTGTCCTATGGACTCCCATTTATTTCCATAAACTCCATAAGCATCCAAGCATATGTGGTAGAATGCTGCTATTGAAATACTTGTTGATAGTTTCTGATTATGTTATTGTTTGAAGTATTTTTTCTTTTTTTCTTTTTTTTAAAACTTCTACACCTAAGTTCAAGTGTCCTCACCCTCCACATTCCTCATCATTTTTAACAAGATGACTAAGTGTGTAGAGAGTACATCTATGATCTTGAGTGAAAGAATGGTGACTTTCTCAGCCTCATCCTCCCAACACCTAGAACAGGGCCTGCGCATGCTGTGAAAAACTGAATTGTACTGAAATGAAGAATTAGAATCCCTTCTAGTCTACTTACCAAAGACTAATCATCCACAAATATGCTCTCATATTGGTAATGTAAATTTAACATAATGCAACCAAGGTATCACATGGAAACAGTCAGCATACTTGTGCTGTTTATAAAGTCACTATTTACTCTCATATTTGACTATGGTGAAGGCAGTCCAGCATCAAGAAATATGTTGGGATGGAAAAACGTATAGCCTCATGTGTACAAACTGCATAGCATGTTATGAGAATAAATCTGAATGGAAAACAAAACTGTGCCTTACTTCCTTTCATTTAAGATTCTGCATTATTTAAATCAGGGCCGATATTCAAAGTAACTATTTGCCTACAGGGTCTTCAGTAGTGAGATAGGACACAGCCCCTAGGGATGCTGCTCCTGGAAGAATGTGAGACCTGATTACAATGCAGACACCCTTAGAAGGTGCTTCCATTGATGGTCATCATTTTGGTCCGAATGAGCTTTTCAGATCCACCTAGAAGACTGGTTTTTGTAAAGACAGGGAAAGAAGTTTGAGCATTCAGTTCCTAGACTCTGCTGGGGATAAAGGGCACCCACAAGTCTGACAAACTACCTGAAAATGAATTATTGAGTGAATAATCCAGATGTTTTGCCACTGTGACTATTTTATAATTAGTGATACTATACTCTGTAAGAGGAGAGACATTATCCATTAGCTTTCTAAAAGTGATTAATAGAATTAGATATTTACTTCAGAATTAAAATACAGATAGTGTATTGCCTTTATTATTACTACAGATAGTGCAATAACAAAAACTAAAGAAAAGTTCTGGTGTTAGAAGAGTCTTTTGTAATACAAGCATTTTTTATTTCTTTTTTATTCACTCTTAGATTCATATATCTAAAAAAGATACTGAAGAGGTCACCTTGACCATGGTCAGCCAAGCTAAAGTTGGGAAGCTGGAAGATAATCAGCCAATAAACCATCAAAGAGAATTATATTTTTAATGTAAAAGGTAATTATTCTGAATAAATCAATGATTTCTTTGTCTTGGCTATTTATAGTTAGAGTGGAATCACATTCCTTTTCTAAATATCCTCTGTAGACTTCAGAAACAACTCAATTTGACTTCCATTAATCACTTATTGTTGCTTTATGGAAGTAGCGGAAGAAAAGAACTTTTGGGGAAACATATTATCTGCATGAAGTAATCTTATAAACTACAAACCAAATCCTTGGCTTTCAGACATAGATCTCTGGATTGACCTATAAGAATAAAAGACACAGATATTTAAGTCTACATCTAGTAAATAAAAGTTTTAACCAGAAAGAAATTAGATCACCAAGACATGTTTGCAATACCTTTGAGACCAGAAATAAATTCTACCGCTAACTAAGGTCTATAAATGGCTCTGAATTTTTCTGACCCTAGCTGGCAAAGTGCAGTTATTATAAGTATAATCTTGGCCTGGAAATTTCTATGCAACATTCATAAAACCCACACACACAAAAAGTGGTCCATTTTTACATGAAAGTGTCTCAAACTGGTCAATAAATAGTTAATGTGGAAAAGCCCTTTTTAAAATAATTCTGTTCAATAAATACAGAAAGAATGAGAGAAACTGAATATAATCATGTACAATACCTAATGAAACGATAGATCTAGGCAATAATCAACAACTGAAGTTAAAACTTTTAATTGAAAGGCTGATAGGCAACTTTGTGCTGGATAGATCAGCCAGATACCATCTGAACCCACTAAGCAAATTCACAGTCATAAAAACAGACACAACCACATATATGGGCTTCCAATGTAATGTAACAGGAAGTATATAGTCACTGATGACCTACTTTTAAAATATATATACATATATCAAACTTGAACATTATCAAGCCTTGAGATTAACTAAAAAATTTACAGGAAACATAGAGGATAAAAGAACAAGTGTTTTTTTGTTTTTTTTTTTTTTAATACCACAATGATGCAATCAGCAAAGTTAAAAAATATGGAAAATTCCTCAGCACAAACAATCCAGGTTCTTCAACAAATCAATGGAAAAGGACCTATGAATTAAGAGACATGAACTGAATGCATTGCATAGTTCCTGTTTGGATAATGATTCAAGTTAACTATTAAAAAAGCACATGCAACTATCAGAAAAATTTTAACATTGAACATATATTTGGTCATATTATGCAATCTTTTTTCATTGTTGTTGTTCCAGTGCAGTGATAGTATCATAGTTATGCTTTTAAAACTACAGTGCTTGCTTTTAAAACATTTTTTAATGTTTTTTATTTATTTCTGAGAGAGAGAGACAGTGTGAGCAGTTGAGGGTCAGAGAGAGAGGGAGACACAGAATCTGAAACAGGCTCCAGGCTCTGAGCTAGCTGTCAGCACAGAGCCCGATGCGGGGCTTGAACCCACGAAATGTGAGATCATGATCTGAGCCGAAACGGACTGAGCCACCCAGGCGCTTCACAGTGCTTGCCTTTTAACAATATGTATCAATACATGAAATTACATGTCTGGGATAGGCTTTAAAAAAATACTGGAGATTGAAGGGCTGGAGAGTCAAATGGGTAGAAACGAAACAAGTTTGACTGGAGACTGATCCTTGTTCAAGCTTGGTGATGTGAGTTCATTATTATCTCATTTTTTATGTATAATTGAAAATCTCCATAATTAACTGTCTAAAACAGAGAGGATAGGACTCTGCTGACTCAATCATGTTAATTATTTTGTGCACTGAGTGAACACACACATGTCCTGTACATATAGTTAACTTTGTTATGGTTTAAGTGTTTTCTACTATTTAAGTCATTAAATTAAAGCCAAGTTCACCTTTTCTTAAGCTCAGAAAAAAACCTGCATATAACTTTTTTTCTTTACCATTTTATTTTGGTTTGTTGTTTGTTTTTTTTATGTAAATACTGAGGACACCTCTTAGCAAATAATAAGTATTCCAAAACAGCTATTATTTATACTATCCTTAGGTGAAGTAGGTACATGACAACAAGAGATGTTGTTCCCTTTAGAGGAGTGGTGGACAAAAGAATTAAGAAACTCAAGAGTCTTCAGTTTGATTTTATGTGGTTGGAATCCGAGGAGCAGGTTAACTGATTTTGGAAAATCCTAATTCGGCGAGCATCAGGAGCTTCCCCTTCATCCATTCCCCAACCATCCCTCCGTGTTTTGGCATCCTCTAATCTATAGAAGCATCAATCATAAGCCAATAGCTGAAATTTCGTTAAGTATTTTATTTGGAATTGGTGAGTTCCTTATCCGTGGATGAATAAAAAGCTACATTGGCACGGCAGTTTTTAAGCCCAAGAGAACACTGCCAAAAAAACTCCTTCTTCACTCCAGCTCAGGCTTAAAATGCCACTTGCGTAGTTTAAGTGCTTAACTCTGGCTAAAATACAACTACCCTTGCCTAGCAGGTGCTGTAAGCTGTTAATCATCCAATTACCTACTTACTATGGATGTGTTTTATATTCTTCCTGGGAGAAAGCTTTGAGCATGAAGGGGAGGAAAGTGTAGGAAAGCAGAGAATGCCTTGGGGGCAGGAGAGCAAGGCTGTCCAGAAACACTATATCCAGAGAGAATTTCATCTGTTAACAATTTGGTCTCAGACCATTCCAGAGTGCAGGGAGGCTATTCTGTATCATCAGCGACCAATTTGGAAATTTCCCCACACACCAACTTCCGGTCCCTATGTATTTCCTTATTAGTTAAAATCTCATTACCTTATGCAACATGTGTGTGTCACATCCTGCGGCAGCTTGATGTGCTAAATGTAAAGCCAAGCCTGACCCAAATAACCCAAATCTCTTTGCAAACACATTTTTATTTGGATTAGAAGAACTCTTCAGAAGATTTATAGGTCACCAATTGAAGCATGTTTTGGAGGAGGCTCCCACTTTAATCTGAGCCTAGTTTAAACACATGTTTCTTCTGGAAATTGAATTTTCACATCCTGTGTACAGGAATGTCACTGCACAGGTTTCCTATGTATCAGCATAAACAGAGAAATGGTAACAAAGCAAAACCTATCTAGATTTGTACACGACAATTTTTAAAGTGCACTTTGACAGGAAAACCACTAAAATATTCCACTCAACGTTATAGAACTAAGAGACCAGAAAGTTTTCAAAGTAAACTTGACTTACTTTCTTTTCGGTTTTGCATTCTCAAAATCAGAAACTTCCTGAAAAATAAAAGAAAAAATAAAATAAAATAATACTACTCTACAAAATCAGAAGGAGAATTCAAGTATGGTTCACCTTTGAGTATAATCCAAACAGAGCTCATTTCCCTTTCCTACAAAAATGACTTGCGTTTCCCCCTTGTATTTTATAACTACATCATAGAATCTGGGTTCAAGATTTTTTTCCTCCTTTGATCTTTGTAGCTTTGAGAAATGTAGAGTGTTTTCCTTATTAACTAGGGCATATACTTCATTCTAAGCCCTGGCCAGTTAATAAAGCAAGTCTTTTAAGTAAAAACATTCAATTAAATCCTCATAACCTCGACTTTCTATTCCCCATCAACCTACGGACACCAAGGGGAGAGATACACACCAGAGCATCCAATTACGTCATATAGTACTTTCCTTTAAGAAAGTTTGACCCATCACAATACACAGAGCATGTTGAAATACACCTGTGATTCATCTGGCCTTTCTCTTCAGAGCAACTGAATGCTGTGTAAAACCCCTTACACTTTTCGGGGAAGACTATGTCGCCACATCTTTCACCATCATTGAAAGAGCTTGAACTGCTCCAAGGCACCTTTAAGAACCTTGTAGATTTTCTTGTTATCATGCATCTTCTCTTTCATTCAAAAATCATTATTGCTTTTGATGTTCAAAGTGCTTTTTGAACATCTGTTATGTCATAGGCAACAGAGCATGTTGTCGAGAGGTTTGATCGGTGTGGAAGGAATTTGTGCAGTGACGGATATGGGAACCAATGTTCCACAGAGAGGGAGAAACACAAGTGCAGACGTAGGAGAAAGTAGTGAATGAAAATCAGACAAAGGAAAATTGGTTTCCAATGGTTGATGGTGTTAGTCTGAGCACTGCCAAATCCAGGATAATTTCTCCCATACAGAGTAACTGAGGGGGCCATGTCTCCAACCCTTACTGTGTTTTTATCAAGACTTAACTCTTAAGGACGATTTGAATTACCTGAATCTACTGTTGAGTAGAGGGTCACTGAAAATTTCCTATGCTGAAACGCAGTCCCTTAACTTGAGGATAGGTTTTGCTAACGTACAATGCCTGTGGATCACCCAAAAGACGATGTCTGGTAGGAAATCGGTGGAAGTGGAGGTAAATATGTGCGAGTCATGAACCAAGCCCTGAGGTGAGTTGGGATATCAAAAGACCTTTGAGGAGTTAATGATCAGAATGACCGCTTTCAATTCTCTATGCTTTGTCACCATGTATCCTAAAAATAGTCCATCTCTATTCATGGTCTTTTTGTGAAATTCTTTCAGTCTTGGTCTAGATGTCTCCACACATCAGCCTAAAAGCCAACTGTGTTCCTTTCACCACAACCAGCAACCACACTAACTTTGTGAAGATCATTAGGAAAGAGGACCACCATCTATCTTTGTAGTTCTATTTGCCTGTCACATATATTTGGAATTTAGCTAGGAAGTAGCAAGTTCCATGTTCACATAATCTACATACTCTGGGCCAAATATGTTTCAATAATCAGAATCCACTGTTCTGAGTCTCATGAATTTGTTGTAGGGTTCAGGTAAGTTTACTCAGATTGCAAGTCCTGGACTCTTCAAAACATATTCCACCTCTTTTTAGTATAAGAGTGGTATCTGGTCTAGAGTTAACCAGTGCAAAATGTCGATTTGCGATAAGAAAGATGGGGAACATTAGATATCTCTTGTATTGTTTTGTTTTGTTTTGTTTGTTTTATTTTTTCAATTGTTTTAAGTTTATATATTTATTTTTGAGAAAGAGAGAGAGAGATGGGGGGAGGGGCAGAGAGAGAGGAGAGAGAGAATCCCAAACAGGCTCCACACTGTCAGCATGGAGCCCAGTGTGGAGCTCAAACTCACAAAATGTGAGATCATTTAGAAACCATGAGTCAGACGCTTAACTGACTGAGCCACCCAGGTGCCCTGTTTTCTTATTTTAAATTTACTTATTTACTATGTGTGTGTGATAGAGAGAGAGCAAGTGAAGGAGGGATAGGGAGAAAAGGAGAGAGAACTCAAGCAGGTTCCATGCTGCCAGTGCAGAGCCCGATACAGGACTCAGTCTCATGAATGTGAGATCATGACCTGAGCAAAAGTAAAGAGTCAATGCTTAACCAACTGAAGCCACTCAGGTGTCCTTTCTTCACTTTAATCATTCAAATCACAGTACTTGTAAATTAACCTATTATATCAGTAATTCATTATTTCAATTTTAAAATAAAATATGCTAAAGTTTGTTTTGTGCTACATGAAAAATGCTACCAAAGAGATTAACTCCAGAGGGCTAACAAAACCTGTGTGCAATTGAGCCCTATGTCTTTGAGTTTGGGACAGGGGGCATATTATTCAAGCACAGTCTCCTGCCTCACATGGGTAAAGTCTTGGCTAATTGAATACAACTAGGTGCTGAGCCCACACAGAACTGGTCAAATATATGTGGCTGTAGATTGTAGTAAAAGGGACACAGCTCTGAGCTGAGATTTGGGGACATCTGGATCAAGACTGAAGGATTTCGTAAGACCAGGAATAGGCATTGGTTATTTTTAGGACATATATTGTCACAACCTTCTCTAGATACTATCCACTTTGTTCTGTTTATTGGAAAGCAGGTAATCCAATTTTTACTTGTAATGAATCACTTCAATTTGGAGATTTTTTGGAGGGGGGGGCTTCAGGAGTAGAATTTAGTGATTCATCACTTACATAGAATACCCAGTGCTTGGGGTGCCCGGGTGGCTCAGTCGGTTAAATGGCCGACTTTGGCTCAGGTCATGATCTTGCAGTCCATGGGTTCGAGCCCTGCGTCGGACTCTGTGCTGACAGCTCAGAGCCTGGAGACTGTTTCAGATTCTGTGTTTCCCCCTCTCTCTACCCCTCCCCAGCTCGTGCTCTGTCTCTGTCTGTCTCAAAAATAAATAAATGTTAAAAAAAAAGCAATACCCAGTGCTCATCACAAGTGCCCTCCTTAATGCCCATCACCCACTTAGCCCACCTCCCCACCAGAAACCCTCCGTTTGTTCTCTATAGTTAAGAGTCTCTTATGGTTTGCCTCCCTCTGTGTTTTTTATCTTATTTTTCCTACTTTTCTTCTGTGTTCATCTGTTTTGTTTCTTAAATTCCACATATGAGTGAATTATTTTCTTTCTCTGACTTATTTTGCCTAGCTTAATACATTCGAATCCCATCCATGTTGTTGCAAATGGCAAGATTTTATTGTTTTGATGGCTGAGTAATATTCCACTGTATGTATATATGTGTGGGTATATATACACACACATATATATATATGGTGTATCTATATATATGTATATATGTGTATATATATATACCACATCTTCTTTATCCAGTCATTAGTCCGATGGCCATTTGGGCTCTTTCCATAATTCATCTCTTGTTGATAATGCTGCTATAAACATTGGGGTACATGTGCCCCATCGAACAGCATTTTTAAAACTATGAAATGCTTCGCAAATTTACATGTCATCCTTGCACAGGGGCCATGCTAATCTTCCCTTTATCATTCCAATTTTATTATATATGCTGCAAAAGCAAGCACTAGAGATTTTTTGCTAAAGAGTCTGTAATGGTTACTTTGAAAAAAGAATTTGAGGGGTGCCTGGCTGGCTCAGTCTGAAGAGCATGCAATTCTTGATTGTGAGTTTGAACCCCATGTTGGGAGTGGAGATTACTTAAATAAATAAAACCTAAAAAAAAGATTTTAGTTCAAACTTCTCTTAATCCCTATTAAGATATAAGAGTTAATGTTGTTTTGCTTCTGCAACCTCCTACTAGAGGGTAGGGAGAGTCAAACACACTAAATGTGTGTCTGAAGTGTGCTTATATGGAGGAAAGGGATTACTCAAACAAAGCACATCTACTTCATTAATAATGGTCTGTTCACTGGGTGTTGCCTAGTTATACATTACTACTGAATTGGTTAAGCAATTTTTAGTACTACTTGTACCAGACTCAAAGCAGCTGCTTTCCATTCTGACTTCTGCTTACATAAGCAGACTGTTATGTATTCAGAGTTCCGACCCTGTATTCCTAGAGGGGCAAATCAAAGAAAGACTAGATATAGTTTTATTTTTAGAACTACACCTGTGTGTGTGTGTGTGTGTGTGTGTGTGTGTGTTACTCTAAACTTCAAAAAGAAGATACCATTTCAGAGAGTCAATGAAATGATTCTGTCTAGTCCATTAATTTGACACTTGCCATAAATACCAAGCAAAACTTGCTCCTGTTAGCTTTCATTTCATTATCCCCTAAATCAAGCACCAATCATTAGTCTTATGTTTCATTCACTAGGGAGTCTGTGGCTTAATTTAATTTTTACCCCTGGCAATTGTTAGGAAAATAAAAGATGAAATGCAGGCAAATTATTACAAATGGGCCAGCAAAAATTAAAGAATATGTCCAAAATGTATTATTATTCAAGTAGATCAGAGTAGACTGTAGGAGTAAAGCACTCTTACATAACTCTGAAACAAGGTAAATTAGCTCAAATTAAAAAAAAAAACAATTCAAAATGAAGAAAGAGAATGGGCCACTTAAGAGACATTTTGGATACTAAATGCTGTATTTCTATTTTCATGTGGTGGTTATGGTTGACTGTCCTTTGGGGTTGAGTCTAATATGTGTCTGTTTCTTGCATTATTGGTTTGTAAATCTTACTTTCAAATCACAAAGTCAAAAGGAAAAATGAAGTGAATATATCAGAAATTGTTGTTGCCTAACTAATGGAAATGTGAAAGGTGTTTCTGCACCAGAGAAAACTGATTGGCAGTAAATGATGGTGTAAATCCCATGGCGAACTTTTAAGACTATAGGGCTGATGAGATCTGACCTTTGATTTGCAGATGAATAAACTGAGATCTCAAATGGTAAATTGACTTGTCTAGGGTCATGCATATAGTACTCAACTTTGATTAAATGTTAGTCATTTTTTAAAAAATTTAATATATTCTTTTGGAATTCTATAATTCATTCACTGGAACATTCACAGTTCATTCAACAAATATTCATGTTTGTACTATGGACCAGACACCATTTTAGATGCAAAGAGAATTACAAGTGTTATTTCTCACAAATATTTACCATGAATGACTGCTGATCTCAGGATCCTGTTGGAGTTCACAGTTTTCTTCACTTTGAAGTTTAAATGAGCTAGCCTTTATAAAATCCTTACATGATGCCAAACACATTGAAGATACTAACAGATGTTATTCCCATTAAATTAAATATTCATTATTAGTTATACAGAATTCTAATACTGAGGCAAGAGTTCAACATAAACACATATACAGACATATATGTATGCATACATATAACTTCTCATTAAGAAGAGTTCACCCAATTTCTATTTTGTTCAACTCATTCTCTTGAGAGAATGAGGATGATTCACTTGCATAGTTAAAATGGTTTTGCTGATATTAAAATACTGCAATTCCAAGAATGCCACACCCAAACAGAATGAGCCTGTTGATGGACATTTTTGGTTCCTGCGCTTCAGTAAAGTTCCCAGAGATGTTCAAAAAAGACATGGAACTTCCTTTTTCAAAAAATTCTAATAGACATCTGGCAAAGAGGATTATGATGCTTCAAAATTAATAAAGTAGTTTTGCAATACACCAGGAAGAGAATGTGTATACACACACACACACACACACACACACATTCACACACACACATATACACAAACCCTTAGCTCTGTTCTCAAAACAAAGAGGACATTTGTGTGACTGGATAACAAAACATCACCCTTGTAGAGGAGTCCTACCACCCACGAGCTCTTCTGCTTTGTCTCGACATCTTACTACAATCATGTGGAGAAAAATCCCATGATGGAGTCTCCTAAGTTATCAAGTAGATCACATAGCAAGTTGGTCTATTAGTAGATGTAGCTCGTCTGAGCCCAACTGGCTAAACCAAGTTGCCAAGAACGATAAGACTTTAAATCATAATGCTTTTCTAATTTCTTGCTTTAACACATTTGCAGAATAATAATGTCAGAGCAGTCCCGTAGCATCAAGCACAATTCTAATGCTTTATATATAGTAATTCACTTAATCTTTATAGCAATCTTATGAGTTGATATTATTATAATTATCTTCAATTCACAGATGAGTAAACTGAGGCACAGAGCAGTGGAAAGTCTTGCCTCAGGTCACATAACTAGCATGTGGTAAAACTGGTGTTTTACACCTGATGTCTTAATTTTTACACAATTCTATTTCTATACTTGACTGCACAGATATAGACTCCACCTGCCATCGAGATCACAGATCTCACAAATGAGTGGTATTGGCCAGACGGAGAGTGACTGAAAAAAACAGAGAAAACATAATTCTATTCACCACTACTAAACAAATAACTCAGAAAATACGCCCTTATCAAAGCATTAATACTAATAATTTACTATTATTTGAAGACAAGTGCATAGACAGCACATTGATGTGTTTAAAGGCATTAATCATTTTGTGGATGCTGCCATCGTCATCAGAGAATGTAATTTATAACAGCACATTTAATTAAAAGTGGGCACTTCAGGAGCCACTGAATTTAGATGACAGTCTGTACATTGGAGGCCCCCCAGTATATTACTACAATTATGTCACGGTTCTCAGAGAGAACAGATTTCATCCCCCCATGAGAATGCACTGAAGAAGAAGAAGCAATGTCAGCTCATCCTGATGGGAAAAGTAGACTTTCTTGCCAGCCTGTCCAGCTCCTGTCAAAAAGTAACAACCCTATATAGCTAATGAATTCTGATATCCTCAAGAGAAGCAGGTGGTGGATGGCATCCCCACATGGCCCGTCATCTCAGGGCAGATCACATAGCTGGTAGTGCCTGGAGAGTGTGCACAGGTACCATATCTAATCCATCACGGACAGAGCTGGTAAATCACATAAAATTTCGCCATTTGTCTAGTGGTGTGCTAAGTGAGCTTTCTATCAATCCTGAACTAACAAACTCCTCTCATAGCACTATAAATACCCTGAATGACAAAACAAGCTACCTAGGGGATGGTTATTTGCATTATAAAAGATTCTTCCTTGACAAAAAGATTCCATCCCAGATTTCTTTTAAAAAGAGAGCTTTTGTTAAGTATCTTCAAATGTGTCATGATTTTTGAAATTATGTTTACACAAGGTTTTAGAAAGGGGAAGGGCAACAAATGTTTATTAATTTCCTGTTTGCTGTCACTTATTATCTTCTTTAATCCTCAGCCCCGAATGGAACAAGAGCAAGCCAAAGTTGCTGGAAGTGTGATAGAAAATGCGATGGGTAAAAATATTAGACTCCATCCTCACAATGAGAAAACCCTGAACTGGCAGTCCCGAAGCTGGCTCGCTTCCCCAGTTCTGCTGCTAAATTAGCAAGATCCAAAAAATCCTCACAGAACCTAAGTTCCTGCATCTATAGAATCAGATTGGTGAACAGAACTTTCAAATCTCTTCCAGTAGAAACAAGTCATGGCTCCTAATCAACAATATTTCAATCCAAAATCAGTAGGGATGACAAAAGCTTTTAAGAGAAAATGAAAGTGAAAATGGGCTTTTTGGCTTTACCGCTTTTTCTTTAAAACATGATTAAAGAGAGAACCATGGCTTTCATTAGATTCAATTAGTAATTGTATCATAATCTTAGGAAATAAAAAAGAGAATAAGGCATAATTAACCTTAATGTATTGATTTTATTTTACTTTAACATAAGTCTCTATTTACGAGAGGAAACTAATTAAAACCACCAGATAGTAATCGCACAGAAATTGGTGACAGAAAACCTGTATGTGATCATAGATACAACGGGTAAAAAAATAAAAATGAAATAAAAGTGCAGGTTTTTTAATGAAGGTAATCTATGTTTTATATGTCAGCTTGTTAGGAGTCATTTTACAATCTAGGAATCAAGAAAAGGATTACATGCACTGTTTTGACACTGACTCCTCTTGTTCATAGTTTGATGAAGACCTAGTTGATGGGATGCCATTGTTAATCTCATTTTCTTCCTTTAGTGTCTATGTTATTAATAGCTCTGTCAATGCTGATGCTAATATGGAGACAGAACAAAAAATTCCCAATTTTAATAGTTTGGAGGCAAGTGAGAAATGCAGTTGAGTGGTTAGAATACCAACCTGAGAGTCACTGGCCTTGACTTCTCCATTACTCATCTATTCTAAAATGACATGTCACATTTCAGTGTGTCCTTTTATCCATTTATAAGACACTTGGCTTTAAGTGCTTTTTAAGCTCTTTTGTGAAAGATGCTAGAACAGCGTGTGACGATAATGTCTTAACCGCCTCCTTTCACCACTTTTAACCCTAGTCCTTCCTTTAAATCTTCCTTTAAATCTTAAATCTCACCACCGTGGCACTGGCACCGTTAAACCACAAACCACAGTTACCTTCTTAGAGGTAACACCTTATTTATTTATTTTGTGCCAACCACTGTACTAATAATGTTAATTATATTGTTACTTTTTATTCTAAAATGATGAGTAAGAGTAACAAATAGTTCCTTCATTGGATAGAAGAAACTGGGCTTGAAG